CCCGCCTCCCCGCCCAGTGACAGCCGCTCTGGAGGAGTTGACCCCCAGGTTGAAGGTCAGGGCCCTCTCCTCCAGGCCCCCTTTCAGATTCAAATTGGGGGCAGGGAGCTTTGTGCCAGGAGGTCAAGCTTGGGGGGTGGGGGCAGGGGAGGCTGTCTTTCAGGGCCAGGCTGGAGGAGGGATTCTCCCCTGAGGGGGCAGATGAAAGCCCCCGATCTTGGGAAGGTGCTCTCCCCCCACAAGCCTCCCCCAGCCAAACTGCTAGCAATTGGCTCAGTGGGGGGGGGGTCTGGATGCCCCAAAGGTTCCTCTGGGCTGAAATCTCCTTCGCTGGGTAAGCAGAAGATTCGGCTTGTATCTCCCTTTACTCAAGCGGGAGGGTTGATTGATTGATTGATTGATTGATTGATTGATTGATTGACTGACTGATTGAAGCCCAGGTGGGCAAGTTCATCTGGTGCAATAGCACAAGCCCTGCGGACGAGGCCCCTGGCTGGGTCCGCGCCACCAGGCTCCGTGCCCCAAACCTTCTGGCTTAGGGCCTTCCTGTCACCCAGTGCCCTGTTCTCAGCCACACTTCTAAGAAGCCCCAGCAGGGTTGACTGCCCCCGGAGAGGGAGGTTCCCTTAGCCGTCTCAGCCCATAGCTGAGCCCGTAGCTGATGCGTGGCTTTGTATATTTTAAAATTTAAAATTGTTGATAATGCCTTCATTTTAATAATCACTTTTTATCTTTCTCTAATGATTATTTTTATCCATTTTTTATTTCATTTCATTTTTAAAATTGTTGATAATGCCTTCATTTTAATAATCACTTTTTATCTTTCTCTAATGATTATTTTTATCCATTTTTTATTTCATTTCATTGTTGTACGCCTCCCACAGTCACTCTGTGTGAGATGGGCGGCTGTATAAATGTGACATTGTTGTTGCTGTTCAGTCGTTAAGTCGTGTCCGACTCTTTGTGACCCCATGAGCCGTATTGCGCCAGGCCTTCCTGTCCTTCGCTGCC